AAATACTGAATGGATTTTAATGAAACTTAACAGTAATATAGCTCATATATGATAATTACATATATATAATAATTTATGTAGTTGTTGAGTGAATTGGCCAATATATAGCAATAAGTGTTACATAAGACGGAAAAAAATGTCCCATCTGCGAGCCATTTTGGCCTGCACTGCAAAAACAATAAAAGTTACATGAATGTAATGTAGAGTGAAAATGTATCTCATAAATAGTTCTAAAAAAAAGTCCGTGACACCATATATCTATTTTTAATGTGTAAGTCATTACCGCTAAAATAGTGAATCAAAACTTAAATATTATTTGATATCTATTTCCAAAATGCACATTTTGTATTAACAAATCATTTTTTATCAAAACAAATACTTTAATCGCTTTTGATATGTAAAGACGATAAACTTTGCTTTTTACACTATGTCATTTCGACAAATATTTAAAAAGTTACAACGATGACAAAGTGATAGCGCGGTATACTATATAAAAGAAAATTTGATAATAAATGAGATTGCTATGGTGCTCTACCTAACGTTATGAAAATTTTATTATGCGCCTTTAGTTAAATCAAATATTATAAACTTTGCTTTGGTGATTGCATAATTATTTAATTTAGTGACCTAAGGCAGTTGCCACCATTGTCCAAAACAACAGACGGGAATTACTTCTTGCTTCAACCTGCGACATAAACGTCATTGATTGGTATTGTATATAGGATGATTAAAAACATTTGAAATTAACTTCTAGCATCTACATATTGGGTTTCTGTGAATTATGTAGGTATATCAAATTAAGTGACTAGGGACTGACACTGAATTTGTGTATATCACATTTTTGTTTTAATCTAAGATATCACAATATTAGACGTCCGGCATTGACATGACAATGCAGCCACTGCCAATTTTAAATAGTGGACGAATAAAAGTAAATGAATTTTATATTTACTGCTAAACTATTAAAAAAAACATAAACAAAAGATGACTTTTTGAGTAACTAGTTTACTATAAAATTTACATACATTAGAGATATTTATGTAACGACTTGATTTAACTTCACACATTTTTGCGAAAATTGAGGCCCATCTGTAGCCTTGACCCCGCTGGTAAAGTCTTTATATGTCTTAATAAATCAATCTTTTAGACCGACGCAAGGTACTTAATAATTCCCGCGATATTAATTCCCTTAGAGAAGTAACAAGACTACGGTATATACCGTCTTAAAATACTAACTAAAAAGTGTGAAATAAAAAAGGTAAATTTAAAAAAATCAAAAAACCCGACTGCTTAATTATTCTTCAAATAAAAACTGAAAAGAAAAAAACAAGTCCAGTAGTCTATAATTCTGTTAATAAGGAACAAAGCTACTTTAACAGTCGGGACCCACTGTTGAAAAATATTATGTATTCTTGAATATCTAATGGGTCCCGACTGTTAAAGTAGCTTTGTTCCTTATTAACAGAATTATAGACTACTGGACTTGTTTTTTTCTTTTCAGTTTTTATTTGAAGAATAATTAAGCAGTCGGGTTTTTTGATTTTTTTAAATTTTTTGTGGTTATGTTTAATATTCAATGAAACATAGGTCAACCTATAAACTTAGTATGAAGCGAATTAATATGACTAATTTATTTTATTCGGTGCGATTGTAAAGAATAACTATTAGGAAAAACTTGGTTCGGTAGGAATCATGAATAAAATAAAAACTGTAGTTTTGCTTCTTATTTAACTATTTTTCACATAATTGTATCATATTGTATATTGTATTTATTTGTATATCACATGTATATTGTGTACATATGCAGCGTGAATGTGTATCAGGTGTTCTTGAATAATTTGGCAGTACGATCCTCTCAGGATGTTGTTGCACAGGTTCACTAGCACTTGGTAATAAAGGCTTAGACGAAGGAAAGTGCTAAGGGCTCTGCTCTTTGGTTTTTGAAGTTATACTTCTTCAGGCGCGTTATGAAAAAATGATGAGAGTGAAATTTTAAGATACGCGCGCATCACTGTAACACAAAAAATTAACAGCATGAAGTTGGTCGCTTCAGCGACCAACTTCATGCTGTTATTTTTGTGTTTACCGCACATTAAGAAAATAGAAATAGAATCTCTATTTAGTGGGTGCTAACGACTGCATTGTGAAGGCCTATCAAAAGTATTTATTAATCTGGAACAACGGAACCAAAGCGCGATTCAGGAGACTACAGCGCCATCTCTTGACCATTGGTGTAGTAGAACCAAAAACCACATCTTTATTTTTTGTAATAAAGTAACAATTATAGGTATTCATATTTATAATATTTATCCACATGTTTCTAGTTTGTATATTCGGAATACGTGTTTGAGTTTCATACAAGTGCAAATCACATATGTTCTAATAAATTATATTCAGTAGCGATTTTAATTGAATATTTTGATTATTTATTTATTTTTTCAAATTAAAACTGAACTTTATTGACTGTGTCCTTTTCCAGACTTTTTATTAATTTATCGTAATTAATTATTTGCATGCAATTAAAAACTAATTTTAAACGATGCCAAAGAAGGATAACTTCTCACGCGCCTACATAAGTACACGCACCCATTTTTTTTTAACTACTCTTTGGAATGCACGAATGCCACAGATTACTACGAATGCAAACTGCCTGCACCACAACCACAGAGTAACGAGTTTTATGCCGACCCTTCACTTGACAACAGTTTGTCCTTGTCATGCTTATTAAGGAATGAAAAGGATAGACTGATGTCATGTTTTAAAATAGCAAATACGAATAGCCAAGTGAAGTGCCGGCATTAGGAAGAAAGAGTGTTTTGTTTGCAGCGCCGTCATAGATTATACACATTATATGGTATTTATTGTCTCAGATTATTTTTTAACTTTTAAATTTAGCTTACTTAACTGGAAGTGTCCATCACAATCTAAATACTGATAATTATCGCAAAAAATATGCAAAGAATTATCATAAATGCCAAATTGGTGTTGGTTCTTAGGCCAATTTTAACATTGTCCTTTCATCGAAATCGGTTCAGCGTATTAATAGTGAAAACGGAACAGACAATCGGACTGACATACAGATTCTCAGAATCCTATAAGATCATGCGATGCTGTAGTTAGGTACAGTCATGACCTAGTGGTCACGTATTAGGTACAGACACAGTATCATCGCTCGCAGGTAGTGTAAAGTAGGCAATGACAATGATATGAATATAGATATAATTATTTTTTTTGTAGAGAAAAAACCCTAATTACGATTTACTGCCTCTTTTCGTCTATCAACTCCCTTTCTTATTTTTAATACTCTTGCTTCCTTCCTGTTTTTCTTTTATCTGTACTCTGTTCATTTTTTTCCTCGCTTTTACCTTCTTTCTCTGGCCGAATTCCAAATCGACGTTGGGTATATGTGAGGAACTTTAAACCAAAATAAAAAAAAACTGGAGTGATGAGAATAAAATTGTCATCTCTACCAGATTTGACCAATTAGGCTGTTGCAGAGAAAATATTGAAACAGTTCTGGTTATTTTTTTATTCTTCATTCCAACCGTATAATTTATTGTTATTATTCATTGGATATATTAGAATACTTACGCATTATCAAGATTTTCTATAGAGCAATATTAAAGAATATCATATTGTTTTCATAAGCGTACCGTGTTAACTCACTTGAACCACTTTTTTATTATTATTTATTCCATTTCGATTATATAGGATTTTGTTAATTTAATGTGGCCGTGGGAAGTTAGTACCTACATACCTAGAAACTTTTGATCAAAGAATAATTTTCTCATAAGTTGTGTTAAAAATACTATCATTAACTCACTAATATAGACATCATAAAAGAGAAGAGTCGATCTTTTGATGTTGGCACAAACAAAATGCCGAACGAACCGAACTTTTCAACATAGTCATGTCAATACACAGCCGCACCACAGAAATAAATCATTGCTATGATACACACAGTATGGGTCGATGTGTATGTGTATGCATATCTGTGAATGAAAACATTCCAATGATCGGCGGGTGGAGCTTATAATATATTTATTTATACTTTTCAGTTTTCTTTTATTTTAGTTCCTACTTTTAAAATAAGGATTTATTTCCTATTTATTATTTATTTAGTGTTTTTTTAACTTAGATAAAAGGTAATACTGACTAATGTAGTCATTACATTCATCATCAGCCTATTAATGTCCCCACCGCTGGGGCACAGGCCTTCCCTATGGATGGAATGGGGTGATTGGGCCATGACCCACCACATGGGCCACGCAGTGGGGATTGGTGGGTGCTAATAAACTGCAGATGCAGCCGGGACCAACGGCTTAACGTGCCTTCCGAAGCACGGAGGAGCTTGAGATAATACATTTTCGGTCACCCATCCAAAGACCGACCACTGCGAAAGTTGCTTTATCAAAACGTAAACTAAATGTTATATAATACCAGTTAGTTTATTTTACAGCATGCATAAATCGCCTGTAATATTTCCTGGCGTTGATATTCATGCATTTGGTTTTGGTTATCGTGGCATGCGTGCAAATTCAACATTCTAATATCATGTTTGTTGGTATCGGAATAAGTAGAAACTCTACTTGGGAATTCTAAGTCAAAACTACCTACTACACATAGTGACACACACTACTAATAGGTACTTGATTATAGATTGGAAGAGTGAATGCCCTGACAGCGAAAAGTGAAATTTAGAAAAATCAAGAAGTTATAGGTTCTGAAATATATAAAATATTAAGATTGCAATACAGGTTTGGGAGATTTAAATAAATATCCAAGTGTAATCCTATCAATGCTGGTATTGCATATTAAGGTGGAAGAATAGTTAATTACTTTTCGACTGTTTACGAATAGGATTAAGTAGTTAAGGAAAGCCAAGTGTCTGTGAGCTTTGTAAGTAGATTATGTCATCAATTATAAATATCCTATATCTATTTATTAACAAAAGGGGCGTGTGAGTAAGTAAGGGTAAGCGTGTCGGTGTTGTGACCTACCGGTGTAGGGCATTAAGCATGTGGGCATTGGTGTGGTGCTGGTTTGCTTCTCTACTGTGTGAGCCACCTTTCGTTGCGCATATTGCGCGTCCTTCGGTTCCCAGAAGAACACGTAGTAGAGGGAGAGCATGATCGCGGCGAGGGAGACGCAGAACACGTATATGATGACGGTGAGCACGCGCACGCTCTTTTTGTCGCGCTTCCGCTCGTAGAGCGCGTCCAGCACGAGCTCGTGCCCGCCAGCGCCGCCCGCGCCCGCCAGCCGCACGGAGCCGCCGCACGAGCGTACGCTGCCCGACGCGCCAGACCTGCCCGACATCGTTCTCGCCGATCAGCACAATGCAGCGCTTGCTGCCGGCGAACCAGGTAACTGGGGCACGCTTATTGATATGCCCCAGTTCGAGCGATGCGCCGCGGTCGAGTCGCGACGGGTCACGCCGCCGGTGTCTGCCGCTTGACACCTCCTGATGCGGACTGCTTCCACATTATAATCGCAGCCGCATCGGTCTTCATTTGTTTATCCTTTAATCTCACGCCCGCTCCGTGCCGAGCTATTCCAGTTGCTCTGACGTAGCCGTACGATAGTGATTTGTCTGTCATGAATCAGTCCATGAATTTTCATTGTTTCAGTTTCTGTAATTACTTTCATTGCCTACTTACGAAACCGTGTTTATCGTTAAACATAAGTTTGCACATGGTTCGGTCCGTGAGTATTATCGGTAAACACTTTCTAACTAAAACACAAAAATAACACTTGAACAAGTAGTGCGATTGAACTGTGGGTCGTTATTTGCGTTGACGTGCACGTATATAACTGTTTGTTAACGAAGTTAATCGAGAAGAGGTTTGTGCGTTATTGTGACAGCGATTATTGGACGGGTGACGGGCGGGCGGCGGGCGTCGTCGTTGACTCGTCCGTTCGCTAGCTGTGAGGCGCGCGCCGCCGCCGCCCGCCGCCTGTGTCCACGTACAACGCTCCTAACGCAAATCAATAGAGACATCTTGCGATTTTCCTCAACGATTTACATTTATTTGCTTTTTATTGGCGCGGTGTACCCAAACAAACCTTGTTACAAATTTGTCGTCGGGAAACTAAATACACTGTCATTATAGTCATACAACGAACATCAATTATGCTTTATTTAAAATAATTTAAGTTTCCTTTGAAAAATCGTGATTAATTTACAATATTTTTATATTCTACTAGCTGACCCAGCGAATTTCGTACCGCCTAATAAAATAGAGGCAGGTGGTAGAAGATGTATTTTTTAATACCACATTGTAAAAAAATAAATTATCTTCAAAAAAAAAAATTAGGGGTGTTACGCAGTGTTGTTTCAATTTCCTGGGATAACATTCCTCCTAACCCAATAGTTTGAATATTGACGCGAAGGCGCATTGTAGGTTTCAGAACACTACGTTACAGGGCAGAGTGTTTTATGGAACCAAAAAAATTTACACCTTAAGATTTTTGCATAAATCAATTATTTATACCCTAATAAAGGCAACAGTTCAATTCTCAGATCACTATTTCCTTTTAAAAAAAAGATATGAAGTAGCAAAGTTTTTGAAATTTGAGCATTAAAAAATTAACAATTTAATTTCCTCAAAAGACGGTTCCATATCTGTACATAAGATATTTGTCACTTGATAAGGAATTATTGAAGGCATAATTTTGCAATTTTATTTTATTTATAAGTGTCCTAGTTTCCGAGAAATATTTTTTTTTTAAATTTCGATTTTTAATTTTTTTCTCCAAATATCGGCAAAAGTGGAACCTGGATTTAGTACAGAAAGGTTCTATAAGCCAAGTTCTATCACCCATAAAAAAATCAGGTTTCACTTTTGCGGTTTTAAGAAGTTATGACAGAATTTAGATAAAGGTCAACTTTCATGATCTAGGATTGTCACAAAGGTCAACTATGAGTTAAATGAAAATGTTAAATTTTTTGTTTGTTAATTAATACCGTCAATCAATTGAATAAATTAACAACACTTGTGGACGAATACAATATACTTACATATACTAGGTACCTACCTAATGTAGGGGTATAAGGGGTGCCGCCTAACACCCAACGGCACCCAAGCCAACCTCACCTGCCCGCGGTGTACCCTGCCGACCAACGGACGAGGCTCTGGCGCTCCCCACCAACCCGCACTGGGCCAGCGTGGTGGGAGACGGCCCAAAACCCCCCCTAAAATGATAGTACATAAGAAGAGGCCCCAAGTGCCCGGCGGTGCTGGAGTCCGTGGCGGCGCTGACGGACGCCGACTCGGCGCCGGGACCAGGGGTGCGAAGAATCCCCGGGCGGCAAAAGTCCCCCGTCAAACGACCTTGGCCCTGGCAACGTACAACGCACGCACACTACGGACCGAGGAGAAGCTGCTGGAACTGGAGGAAGAATTGAGCAGGATTCGCTGGAGTATTGTAGGACTATCTGAAGTCCGAAGAGAGGGCGAGGACACGATGGTCCTTAAATCCGGCAACCTGCTCTATTTCCGGGAGGGCGAAGATCTGTCCCAGGGTGGTGTCGGGTTTGTTGTCCACAAGTCTCTCGTGAACAATGTTGTACAGATCGGTAGTGTGTCGAATAGGGTGGCGTACCTTATACTCAGAATCACCAAACGGTATTCGTTGAAGGTCATACAGGTATACGCTCCGACCTCGACGCACCCCGACGAGGAAGTGGAAGTCATGTATGAGGATATTTCTCGGGCAATGCATGCTTCCAGGACCCATTACACCGTTGTCATGGGGGACTTCAACGCAAGGCTGGGCAAACGTGGCGATGATGAGTTGAAAGTGGGGCAATTTGGAGTTGGAATCCGGAACTTCCGAGGTCAAATGCTAGCCGATTACATGGAGAAGGAGGGACTCTTTATGATGAACTCCTTCTTCAGAAAACGGCTGCATCGAAAATGGACCTGGAAAAGTCCGGATGGCGTGACAAAAAATGAGATTGACTTCATCATGTCGACTAAGACTCGGATATTCAATGATGTCTCAGTGATCAATTCGTTCAAAACGGGAAGCGATCACCGAATGGTAAGAGGCACATTGAATCTAAATGTCAAAGCCGAAAGGAATCGACTGATGAAGTCCACGCTCCGTCCTGAAGCCATCCAGATCCAAAACCCCGAGCGCTTTCAACTCGAACTGCAAAATCGCTTCGATTGCCTAGAGAGCTGCGTAGACGTGGACAATTATAATGACAGGTTTGTTGAAGCTGTCCTTACGGTGGGCTCGAAGTTCTGCAAGCCCATCCGTACCAAAAAACGTAGCAAGATCTCGGAGCCGACTCTCAAGCTCATGGAGAAAAGGCGTGAGATGGGTCTGCAGTCCTCTGAAGATGCACGTCGGCAGCTCAATAGGCAGATTTCGAAGTCTCTGACTCGCGATGTACGCCGCTTTAATACTGATCGTATTAAAGAGGCCATCGAGCGGAACAAAGGCTCGAAAGTGTTCGCAAGAAATCTGTCTCTTGGACAGAGTTTGCTGACGAAGCTGAAGACAGAGGACGGCAGAATCATTTCGTCGCAACCTGAGCTTATGGCTGAGATCGAAAGCTTCTACGGACAGCTATACGCGACATCACGAGTACCTGTCACAAAGGCGACCGACCCAAGAGCCAAATTAACCCGACACTACACCGAAGATATCCCGGACGTCAGCCTGTACGAGATTAGTGTAGCTCTGAAACAGCTCAAAAACAATAAGGCGCCGGGTGATGACGGAGTTACAGCCGAGCTTCTGAAAGCAGGTGGACGACCAGTCTTGAAATCTCTTCAGAAGCTATTTAACTCTGTCATACTCGAGGGCAGAACGCCTAGCGCATGGCATAGGGGATTGGTGGCGCTTTTCTTCAAGAAGGGCGACAGGGCCCAATTGAAGAATTACAGACCCATCACGCTCCTGAGTCATGTATACAAGCTGTTTTCGAGAGTCCTCACGAATCGTCTCGCGCGCAGGTTTGACGACTTCCAGCCTCCCGAACAAGCCGGATTCCGAAAAGGGTTTAGTACCGTAGACCACATCCATACGCTGCGGCAGGTTATACAGAAGACCGAAGAGTATAACCTGCCATTATGCTTGGCGTTTGTGGACTACGAGAAAGCCTTCGATTCGATCGAGACATGGGCCGTGCTTCGGTCACTCCAAAGGTGCCAAATAGACTATCGATACATCGAAGTGTTGCAGTCGTTGTATGAAAACGCCACTATGTCAGTTCGACTCCGGGACCAAAGCACGAAGCCAATCCAGCTACAGCGTGGTGTAAGACAGGGTGACGTTATATCACCGAAACTGTTTACAGCTGCGCTGGAAGACGTTTTCAAACTTTTGGACTGGAGCGGACTTGGCATCAACATAAACGGCGAGTACATGACGCACCTTCGATTTGCAGATGATATCGTAGTCATGGCTGAGACCATGGATGACCTTGGCACAATGCTCGGCGACCTCAGTAGGGTGTCCCAACAAGTGGGTCTCAAAATGAACATGGACAAGACGAAAATCATGTCGAATTCCCATGTCGTACCCACTCCAGTGACTGTTGGGAGCTCTACACTGGAAGCTGTTGACCAGTACGTATACCTGGGACAAATAGTCCAACTGGGTAAGTCCAACTTCCAGAAAGAGGTTAATCGACGAATCCAACTCGGCTGGGCAGCGTTCGGGAAGCTACGTAGCATCTTCTCGGAACATCTACCGCAGTGCCTCAAGACGAAAGTCTTCAATTCGTGCGTGTTGCCAGTGATGACATACGGAACCGAGACGTGGCCGCTTACAATGGGTCTTGTAAGAAGGCTCAAAGTCACCCAAAGGGCAATGGAGAGGGCTATGCTCGGAGTTTCTCTGCGTGATCGAATCAGAAATGAGGAGATACGCAAGAGAACTAAAGTCACCGACATAGCCCACAGAATTGCAAACCTTAAGTGGCAATGGGCAGGGCACATTGCTCGCAGGACCGATGGCCGCTGGGGCGGAAAGGTCCTCGAGTGGCGACCGCGTACCGGGAAACGCAGTGTTGGCAGGCCCCCCACAAGGTGGACCGACGATCTGGTAAAGGTCGCGGGAAGCCGCTGGATGCGGGCAGCATGGGACCGATCGCTGTGGAAATCCATGGGGGAGGCCTATGTCCAACAGTGGACGTCTTTCGGCTGATGATGATGATGATGATGACCTAATGTAGATGTGATAATGTAGGAATACTTTATGTTTGTTCGACCACATTTTAACTTTGTACCTTACACGCTAAACGGTAACGAAAAAATGAACTATGTTGCTTGAAAAAAATTTCAAAATTCATTCAGAATCAT